TTGACCTATATTTGCTTTCAGCTTTTATTGTCCTCCTTTCAGTGCCACGCATTGTTGTTCTATTTTATGCGTTTCCCTCGACAGCATGCGAAACGATATCGCGTTCTATAAATTTTTTTCGTTTGTTTAAACGTCATATATAATTCAAGGATATAATAATTAAAATTCTCGTGAAACTTCTAAATTTTTTTCGTTCCTTTAATTATCCTAAAACATTTATCTATGTAAAAAATAATTCTCTTAATTTTTTACTTTTGTTCGTTCGTTTAATTATATCGAATTATCTATACTTATATCGAAGAAATATTCTATTATTCTTGCATTCAATAAATTTTCAAATTAAACAATTTTTGCAACTTATTTATAAATCAATCGATTGATAAAAAATTGGATAATTAAAAAAAAAAATCATTCAAAATTAATCCTTCGTAATAATTGAGAAACATAATTTACATAAGTGTTAGATTCATCATTCCATTTCAATCACAATTCTCTACCTACCTGTTCTATTCCCTCTTTTCACGAGGACGGTTTCATGCGTTTCCTTGGGAAATCCGCACTTGACCCAATTTTCGGCCTCGTTCGATAGCCGATGGTCCCGCCAAGTTTTCCACGGAAGCTACGGTGGGGTTGGGCTGGAAATGTTGGACGCACGAATCGCGTTTCAGCGTGAAATTGCACCGGGAACCTTGACATTCCCGCGAGATCGGCAAATGGAACCTCGTCACGTAAACCCGCGCTTCCGATGGGACCGTGTAACAGGAAATCACCAACGAAGCTTCCACGAGCAATGTGATAGCAAAGTTTCTCGTTTGCTGGACGGAGATGATCCTAGGAATTGCTCTGGAAGCGTAACAAGTTGACGAAGTCGTTTTAGAACTCGTCGTTTGGTCGTTGGATGATTATAAGATGAAGAAATAATCTAAAATAAGTAAAAATGTGAATAATAACGGATGTAACGTGAAGTGGAAATATATAAATTATGATAAACTAATCGAGTTTGTCTTTCTAATTTAACTTTTTGAATTTTAATGGCATTTTTTTTTAATATCATTTAAATAAAATATCGTTACGAATTAAAAAGAAAAAAAGAAATATTTCTGTGTATCTCTAATTATTCATCTTTTTTTCTGTTGCAGGTGAGTTGACAAGTTTTTTGAGCACGAATAGAATAGCAATGCTTTGCTGCGTAAGTAATTATTAATTAAACTAAATATGCGAATATAAGTCGAAGAAAATAGACACGATAATCGTTAAATTTAATGATTTTAACATCTTTTAAAATTTTCATTGGAGTCTTGATTATTTTTTTTTTTAAATTTTCTCGTCGATGAGAATAAAATCTACCAAGTTAATAATAAAAGAAATAGATATTTCTCTCAAAAATAGACGGTGAATGGGCTCAAAAGGTAGTATATTATTATTTTTATATACCATCTTGCCACACTTGCTCAACATAAGAACAAACAATAATTCGCTTTCCGTTAAGCACTTTCTTCGGTTGATTGGCTTACGAGAGTGGAGTCTTAATACGGTTATCCTTAACTTGGTCAAGGTTTATCTCATCGTCCGAAGGGAATATACCTGGCGATATTAAAAAAAAAAAAAAAAAAAAAAAAAAAAAAAAAAAAAAAAAAAAAAAAAAAAAAA